CCCTATGAGAAAATTAATTCAATTTTTACTTCTGGAACCCTATAAAAGTGAAATGGGTTACAGCCTGTCAAGCTCCAAAAAAAAAAGCACTATAATGATGACAGTTTTATTTTGAGGTGAACTATCCCTTTAAAATAAGAGACTGTATTTTGTATTTGGGATCATCTTTTCACACTCATAGTTTAAAAAGTCGTCTAGTTAATGATTGCACCACTGCTTTCTGTGAAATTCTGCAGCCGTAGCACACCATGTCTTCAGTAATAGAGTAGCAGTCCAGTTACAGAGAAAATTCTCCCCACTCCATACTACTACAACCCCCGCACACCTGTTCTGATGCCAAGCTGGATGACATGTCTATGGATGATTTGGTTAATTACCTCAATTCTTCTCCTTTTGCACCTTTAAATTAAACTTGAGCATGGGTGTGCTAACAAGGGTCACATACAATTAAGCCAGAATATGATATGGCAATGTGTGATTTTCTCTGCTAATATGTCTAAAGAGAACACTTTCTGAAGTGCTTTCTAAATCAGATTATAGGTTATACAAACATATGTTGAAGCCTTCAATGCTCAAATGGTAGACTAGTTAATCAGTTTTGCCATTTAAACATCAGTGACATCAGGTGCACATTACTGTGGTCCATTAGAACTATTATTGATGGTTCATTTAGCCAAGCAATGTATTCATACTGTTTGTGACTACAGGTGTATTTTGATGAAAAATAGAAACCATGATATTCTTAACTACAGGTTTGCAATTTTATTATTCCTCTCTCATCCTCTTTATAATCCTCACAAGCTATATCTCCTCTCTCATTACAGTTCAGAGGTGAATTGCAGCCCATGTGCGCCTCTAGCCTTAAATGGAAGCCAATTAGGTAAGCAACGCTATGGTTACATGTCCCTGATTTACAAACCAGGGGGATTCTGTAATATTAGGGTTTCACAGTTAGCATGCATTACTTTTTTGAAAAGCCTTGTGAAGGATTGATCATCTATCCGGTTTAATCGTCAAGGGAATTCCATGCTCTCACAATTATCCAATAACAGTTTGTTATTGGCTGCTAAGCACGCAATTCATACACAGAACAATTAAGGCTCCATCCTACGGCTATATCGCTGTCCAAACAATGGTAACCATGATCACTCTTTATTGTACACGCACAAACATTTATGCATGTAATTCACATAAAAACCCATAGATAAAACCAACTTATATAGAACTGAACCCTAATGAGATAAGATTACAATAATGATGCGATTTCTATTTTTCCTTTTCTTTAGTGTGTTATGTAGCTATTTGTGCATGTATAAGATCTGCAGAGTTACAAAGCTCAAAGTCTCCCACAAAAGGATTTATGCTATCTAAAAGAGAAAGATGATCCAGACCGGGCTAAAACGCCTCGTTCAAACACGCCCCCACATGTCTACGTCACGATGTGGAAATATTTGCGTAATGCCGCCCAAATGTTCACGCAAAGAAAGAAGGTGTGATTTCAGGAACCACAGTTAGTGTTGATGCAGCCATGTCAGGGAGACACTGTGTGATTCAGTGGGAAAGCAAAATCACTTTATTTGGCCTTCCAGAAGTAGATGCAATGAGGAATCACTGGTTAAGATTTATTTACAACAGAACAGCACAACCCAGATGTTCGAATTTGTGCAACGCATTTTATGGTTGACAGTTTTGTGAACCTAGGAGAGGTTAGCTTTCAACTTTCAAGGCTACAAACTTTGCACCCTACAAGGCTGGCTGTGCAAAGGCTATTTATAAAAAAAATGGGTCAATTCCGACTTTGCTATGACAATCTGGCACTTATTCTGAATCAGCTACTGTAAGTATGTTTTCTTAATAGTTTAAGTATTTGCTATTGACTGTTTATGCTGAAAACGAGTGTTTGAGATAGGCGGGGCATAGAGGACCTACAGTATTTGAAAAATAATGTGTTTTTTGAACATTAAAGCATGTCAACATATTCTGTTACACCAAATACACAAAATAATGATCTTTAAAATAGCATCATATGACCCCTTTAAGCATTTACATCAAGTGCAATCACTAGTGATTTTTTAATTGGTGGGCGTGTCTCAAAAAATGGGTCTCAGGCTTTTTCTGATGTTTAAAACCATGCTAAATGCAAAGCTTTCAACTTTCAAGGCTACAAACTTTGCACCCTACAAGGCTGGCTGTGCAAAGGCTATTTATAAAAAAAATGGGTCAATTCCGACTTTGCTATGACAATCTGGCACTTATTCTGAATCAGCTACTGTAAGTATGTTTTCTTAATAGTTTAAGTATTTGCTATTGACTGTTTATGCTGAAAACGAGTGTTTGAGATAGGCGGGGCATAGAGGCCCTACAGTATTTGAAAAATAATATGTTTTTTGAACATTAAAGCATGTCAACATATTCTGTTACACCAAATACACAAAATAATGATCTTTAAAATAGCATCATATGACCCCTTTAAGCATTTACATCAAGTGCAATCACTAGTGATTTTTTAATTGGTGGGCGTGTCTCAAAAAATGGGTCTCAGGCTTTTTCTGATGTTTAAAACCATGCTAAATGCAAGCAATAAAATGCAACTAACCATATAATCATACATAGGACAAGGATATGAATAGGTTGATCAACTTTTAAATGCATTGAGAAATTTTTCTCTCTAACTCTACAATATGTTGTTGCTAATTCACATGGTAGAAATTGCATGAAGTGCCGTCATCCTTGAAAAACTATGAATAAAAGTAAGCAAGGTAAAGAAAATTTGTATGTACTTTCATATGACTGCGTTGGGTAAGGTGACCAGACGTCCACATTTTTCCGTAATCAACTAAACAACACAATTACATTTGCTGAAAGCACCTACTTTGTGTTTAAAATGAGCATAAAATGCAAAACAATAAGCCTAATTATGGATATTGAAGATCCACTTCCAAAAGCACACACATAAAATAACATTTGAAAAGTAAAAACAAAAGTTGTAATTACTGTATATTCACAGTTTGTGAAAATAAATATATTATAATTTTAAAATGTAAAAAGAAATAAAAAAGAAATCATTTAGAATCAATTTTCTTAATTCATTGTTAATAACAAGAGATTTTTCGATGATATTTTGACCACTAAATTTCCATTTTCATCACTGGTTTCCATTTCTAGTCACCTTGGTGTTGGGTTGCCTTTTGAAAATATGGGTCCTAACACAGACACACACACACAAACTGTACAACATGGGTTAAAACAATTAAAATAAAATAATGTTGATTAATAAGGATATGGCATAATTTGCACAAGCGTGGGTGTGCGTTCTGTTTTATCTCCCTTTCTATCATATCCATCTACATAACACGGATCAGGTTTCAGCAAGACCACCGAAGCACTTAGAGTATGTGATGGTGCATAATATATCAACTTGGGAATTTCACCAGATGTTAGGGTGCTCCAACTCACTCAAGATATATATTGCATTATTTAGCATTGTTGTCATTTTAATGGAACGTCTTTTTTACAATGTTTTTAAATGTTGTTGTTTTTTTTTAATATAATTTTAAAATGTAAAAATAAATAAAAATGAAATCATTTAGAATCAATTTTCTTAATTCATTGTTAATAACAAGAGATTTTTCGATGATATTTTGACCACTAAATTTCCATTTTCATCACTGGTTTCCATTTCTAGTCACCTTGGTGTTTACCTTTTGAAAATATGGGTCCTAACACAGACACACACACACACAAACTGTACAACATGGGTTAAAACAATTAAAATAAAATAATATTGATTAATAAGGATATGGCAGAATTTGCACAAGCGTGGGTGTGCGTTCTGTTTTATCTCCCTGTTAGAGTCCTCTCTTTTTATCATATCCATCTACATAACACGGATCAGGTTTCAGCAAGACCACCGAAGCACTTAGAGTATGTGATGGTGCATAATATATCAGCTTGGGAATTTCACCAGATGTTAGGGTGCTCCAACTCACTCAAGATATATATTGCATTATTTAGCATTGTTGTCATTTTAATGGAACGTCTTTTTTACAATGTTTTTAAATGTTGTTGTTTTTTTTTTACATTTTTACAATTCCTTAAACTGTCTGTTTATTTCCAGCTTTTAATTGTGGTGTCAGACTTTTGGACCCCAGTGTATTTTTTACCCAATACAGTATGTGTACACAACACACATGTTAGTAGACCACATGAATATTCAAATAAATAGACCGTTTGCTTTCCTCTGCTTTCCCACTAAGTCCCAAAGTTCAAGACAGAATGTTTCAATGGTGATTAATTTTTTCCAGCACAAGCTCAGAAGAAAGACGTTCAGGTCTCTGTTCTCAACGCATGTTTAATAAACACTGCAATGCTAAGCAAGTGCAATCACCAAAACAAAGATTTCAACAACTAGTCAGAGAAAACATAAAACAGAAGACATTGGTGACAAGGTCAGTAAATACAAACAACTCTTATTTCAGACAAAGCAAATGAGCCTTAACAATAGCACAATCTTTTAAAGCAAACAAGCCTTAACAATAGCACAATCTATTAGTGCCAAATAACAGATTAGTGACAAGTAACATACACTGAATACAATATCAAAGTTATGTTTAGAATAACATGTTTAGCCTCAGACAAGACAATAGCCATGTGTCCAAAAATTTAAATGACTCTAATATGATTTTTAGCATTTCAAATATCAAAGAGTTGCTCTGATAACATTCCCAGGGGGTGGCAAAGAGAGTATAATTCAAAATATATAGTTGAATTTACAACTGATTCAGTATTTTTAAGAAAAAACACAAAGTTCCTTTGAGCTTTGAGAATTCTTCCAAGAATAAAGTCATGTTTCCAGCATCACTTATTTGGCAGGAAAATGTCTGCTTTTGTGCCAAAATTGAAGTTATTTTGGACAGCCAGACTGATTGAAGCTCCTGAAGGTGTCCTGATGTGTTTCCCGTTCTCAAATTTCCAACTTGACCTCTTAAAAAGCTAATAAACAAATTGAAGGGGAGACAGGCAAGTATGGTGTATATTATACTCTAAATATGCAATAATTTGAATCGTATGATCTGCAGAGTTGATTTATCTAGTGAAAGCATGTCAGGACATCTGGAGTTTATTAAAAACACAGCTTGTGAAGACCTGCCTTTTCAGCATCTTTCTTCGAATACAGTTCCAGAATTTGAAAAACAAACAACCAGTTGCTTCTGGAACTCCATCTGGCTCCATTTTACTTGGGTTTATTATATAACATAAACTAAACAAGACAAGAAAGAAATCAAAGGTGAAAATATACATCATGCTTTTGTCTTTGGTAACTGTATTTCTTTTGCTTGGAACGGGACAAGCTCAGAGGACAACTTCTGATTTTATTATGGAATATTTTCAGAGACAACTTCAGCAGCTTGAGGTAAGACATTTTTTTTCTTAAGATTTTGTGGCCAAATACATTTGTTCTTTTACATGCTTTAACAGAAACCAATGTAATATCTTAATATATGATTATAGCTTACTATGAACTAAACATTCAGATATAACACAACTCTTTTTACAACTCTTTTTGGTAAGTTCAGTGTGTTCCTGGATCTTTTTATTTATTGATTGATTTTTTTTTAAACATATTCCTACAACATAACCTCAATCTAACACTAAAATAGTCATAAAATCAGAAGAATCTAACAGTTTGATAACACTGATATTCAGATGCCATAAGCCTAACCCTTTCTGTTTCTCTAAAATGTGATTGATAATTTGGAATGTTTCTCCAAGACTAACAAGGATGTTGATCTGTGTCCAACTTGGCCAAATTAGGGGTTCAAGGTTTAGCTGGTTAACAAAAAGCATGTTTTGTATTCAAACTAAACAGTTTCTAGCAAGCAACCTATAGTGCAACATTTCAAATATATTAGATGTTTTATCAGTCATGTTATGTTTTCATTTTAAGTTGCAATATAGTGTGATCAGTGGATCACATGGTATTTTTGTGCATTTATTTGAAAAGGGACGACTGATCAAATGTGAGCAAGACTTCCAGCACTTCAGTCGAAGGATGTATGACATGTCCAAAGAGATACACAGTGAAACAAGCAAGACGAATGTGTTAAAATCAGAGGTCAAAGGTCACATTGACACCTTCGCTTTGCGTTTGGACCGAGTGGAAAGAGATGTGGAATACCTGCATAATAAGATCCCCGACGCGGTTCAGGTTGACATTGAGGACTCACTGCTCGAGCAGCAGGTGAAAGAAGCCAAACTAAAAAAGACAACTGTAATCGCTAAGGGCAAAGGTAAATAAGATGTTAATTAAGCTCTACGACTTTCATTTTTAAGTCTTTTTTTTAGTGGTAACACTTACAGTACATGTGCATTACATGTAAAAATGTGATTTCATTTCCTGAGGAAAACTGTATAATTTGATTGCATTTGAGATGTTTAATTTTTTTAATGTCTACAAGAAAGTATGCACCAATATTTAAATTCTATACTATTTTGTCTAAATGAATTAATACACTAAAAACCAAAACAAATATTTTAAATGCTACAAGTGAATTTAGGCATCACAACATTATAATGTGCAGTGTGAAAAATGGATATTCATTTTAAGATTTTCTTAAGATTAACAGTGTTAAATACAGTATTACAGTATTAGAGTTATTTAAAGAAATAACTTTAAATGAGTGTTACATGATGGCAAAAGTAATCTAAATGTAAAAATAGAGGAAATGACCATGCAAAATTAAATATTCATTATAAAACCAACACTAACACTGATACATTTTTAAAAATCTATAATATTACCTCATAATTGATATGGTTGTGCAAAGACATAAAGCATGTAACCTACATAATTACTATATATAATATAATTATATAATAATTACTATATGCTATAGCTGCATAAACTTTTTTTTACCTTGATTCTTCCAGACTGCAGTTCAGAGGTTGTGGGTATCAAGTCTGTCAAAATTGTCAAGAAAGCAGGTGACGCCAATGGATCCTGGATGAAGGATCCGATAAAGGGTTCTGCTAAGATTTACTTTTTTAGTGGTACTCGAAACAGTACAGTATTAGCATATACCTCTCTGAAGACCTTCACCGAACCAAACTCCACCAAAAAAACAGAAGTTATCCGTCTTCCTTTTCCCTGGCATGGAACCGCCCATGTGGTCTACAACGGCTTTGTGTACTACCACAACGCAGACACCAACAATGAGATCCTGAAGGTCCACCTCAGCAACCGTACAGTGGCTGATCGGTTGCTGCTTCCTGGAGCCGGTCGGATGCCGGCATATTCCCTCAATCCTCACACCCTGCTGGATCTCGCCGTAGATGAAATGGGGCTCTGGTCAATCCATGCCGACCCAGACTTCAGCGGCAACTTGGTGATCACCAAGCTGGACCACAGTAGTCTGGCAGTGGAGCACACTTGGGATACCAACTGCAATAGCCGTGATGCAGAAGCAGCTTTCATAATCTGTGGCACCTTATATGTGGTTTACAACTCCCACTATGGTGGAAGGTCAAGCATCCAATGCTTGTTTGATATCCATGACACCATCTACACCGAGAGCATCCCTGTGCTTTTCTTCCCAAAGCGTTACACCAGCCACTCCACTTTGCGTTTCCACCCAAAGGATAAGCAACTGTATGCTTGGGATGATGGTTATCAGACCATCTATAAGTTAGAAATCAAGAAGATATAGGATAGGTCAGTTCTACATGGTAGTTACAATGAGGTCCTTTTAACCAGAAGTGCCTTATTCTTTTTCCAAATCACATGTAATCTGCTTGTAATTTAGTGGAAAGCACTTTGTAGTGCACTTTGTAGTTATGCCAGACTGTCATTTCCTGAAAAACAAAGGACTGTTTGACCTCCTCGGTTCAGTCAGAGAACTGCAACTATCATATTCTGTCATTTGAGACAGTACAAGATGCTTATCTAACAGCAGTACTCTATAAATAAATAGCATTAAATGAAAAAGAATATCTGCAATGCATGTGTCTCTTAAAGAAAATATTTTGTACAGAACATATTTGCCTTTCAAATTCACGGTGTTTCTGAGGTGGACGGAGATCATGGACGGAAATATTACATTTATAATGTGCACTATACAAAGCACAATTTGTGTGTTATTTTTATAACATATTTTGGCAATAAATAATCATTGAACTACTATTTAAGCATTTAATGAATTTGTACTGCATGAAATACTTCTTGTGGGCCTTTAATTGCCTTTGTTTCCCATCCTTTTTTGATCAATACATTTTCATGACATTTCTCGATTAGTAGGCTACTTCTGTAATAATTTTAAAAAAATAATTTAAGGAGATTGCTAGGGAGGACATCTAAATAATCATGCTTATTTGTGTACAAAGTCTGCAAACACGCACTACATTCACTAAATAGACGTTACGCGCATGCGCACTTGTACATGCTTTCTGTATTTGTGACCTTGCACAGAAGATGGCGCTTGTATCCTCCATACAGATTCCCAGCACCACCTGAACATGCTGTCACTAGTTGTAGCGGAGCATATTTGAAGACTAAGGCGACACAACAAAACAACGTTTTGAAATGTTTATTTTATGAGCTTATTCAATCGTCTATCGGTGACACGTGAAACTAAAGAAGAAAGCCTCTTTTACCGCTCTTGTGCTTCTTAAAATATTACCCCCTTGCTACCTATCCTAAATTAAAAGAGTTCCTCTATACCTTTTCCGCATTATAATGAGGGTTATTTTAGTTTATTTGCACATAATATGGAATTCGTTTCTCGATAAGACCCGCCTCTTACAGTACACGACAGGTGATTGGTCAGAGGAAATGTCCCTCATATGGCGATATTACTGTTTATGGAGCAGCGCAGCTCGATGATAACACATGAGCGGTACGCCAGATGACAACAGGATGATCTAAAACCAGTCGGGAATTATACTACAGGTAAGTTGATTTTTAAAAAGCATCCTGTCTACATTGCTTTTTTGGTGCAGAATAACTTTTTCATAATTTTAAGCAGTACTGAGTAGTCTTTCCCATGTGTAGTGTCATAAAAAATATCAAGAAAGTTTAGGTGCAGTAACATTATTCCTCGTAAAAAAAATGTAGGCTAATTAAAAAAGTTAATTTATCATTTCTTGCATTGTATTATTATTATTATTATTGATACATTTAAGTATTTGTGTGTTTTATAAAGAATCAGAATTTCCTGATTTTGCAAAATATGCTTAACATGAATAAAAATCAATTTATTGTATATATGTCAAAAAAGTTTAATATTAATATTGTGTATATATACATAATATATAATGAAAATATAATTAAATATATTACATCTAATGAATACACACACACATATGCTATAGCTAATATGATGACCAGCTGAAGTTTAATATCTAATGCAAAAATATATAGCCTAATGTCGTTGCATATACGTATATTAATTTATATTTAACATTTTGTTGTATTCATTATGTACATTATTTTTACACCACTACGCTATACTATGAAGACCAAAGAGAAATAACCACTGACCAGAAACTTAAACACAGACGTGATCGCTCTGTCAAATCCTGAAGGATCAGGGTACAGAAGATAACTGGGTCATACAGTGTAGGATGAGCCGTTATTTGACCGCATAATCTCAAAATATTCTGCTACTTGTTTTGCAATGAAGCCTATTACAGTTCTTGTCTCTGCTTGTTACTCTTCATTGTCCATGTTTGTTTTACTGTCAGTTTTTATTATAGAGTATAAAGCCTCTTCCTTCAGTGCTGACCCCATTGGGCTCAGTGAGCAGTCACACTATGTGCTGCAATGGAGATTTCACTTGGTAATGTCTGTGGGGTTCGACAAAGCTGTCTGTGAAGATCATGTGCTTAGAGAAAAAGTAAGCACTGTATTGCTCTTTGATGACACCACTGTAGAATGGTTGCCAAATTAAAGCATTTAGAAATAGAGTTTAATATCTTCTGGATGAAATTTTAGATGTTATAGTGTTTGTTTAAAGGATCATGTTGTAATGTGTAGCTGTTTAAGGTTGAAAAATGTACAAGCCTTTATAGTCTTCATGACCTTTGACTTCATTCTCCATCCCTCTGATCTTCACTTTTTTGTTTTCAGAAAGAGATTTTGAGGAAGATCAGTGAATATTGCTTACAGATGAACAGTTTTTAGCATCTTAGCAGTGTGATCGTTTCCTGTCAGAGTGAATTCAAAGCAAGATGTTGATTTTTGGTTTATTATTAATGCTGGCAAGGTTGAACATGAGTAGTAGTTAATGAGAACAGGTGAAGGAGAACATTCATATGGTTGTTGTGAACAGACACAGAGCCCTCAGGCTCTTCTACTGTGTGATTACAGTGAGCTTATTTCCATAGAGGTGCATACATGTCCTGATTGACCAGTTTTATCACAACCGTTTCATTCCCTGTTGAAAAAACCAGCATATGCTGGTTAGGTATGTCGATGGTCCTTTACTGGTTTATGCTGGTCCTTTTGCTGGTTTATGCTGGTCCTTTGCCAGAACATGACCAGCATAAACCAGCAAAGGACCAGCATAAACCAGCAAAAGGACCAGCATAAACCAGTAAAGGACCATCGACATACCTAACCAGCATATGCTGGTTAGGTATGTCGATGGTCCTTTACTGGTTTATGCTGGTCCTTTGCTCGTTTATGCTGGTCATGTTCTGGCAAAGGACCAGCATAAACCAGTAAAGGACCATCGACATACCTAACCAGCATATGCTGGTTAGGTATGTCGATGGTCCTTTACTGGTTTATGCTGGTCCTTTGCCAGAACATGACCAGCATAAACCAGTAAAGGACCATCGACATACCTAACCAGCATATGCTGGTTTTTTCAACAGGGTTCCCAGAATGATAATTTGAAAATTGTAGTTATTTTCTCACTGAGATCAACACAGTTAATTCTCAGAACGTTCTCAGATGTTATGAACAAACTTTGTTCTAGTAATGTTAATACAATGTTCGTTCAAAGTTATCTGGTCTTTAATAATGTTCTAAAAAAACTAGTAAAACGTTCTTAGAATATATTTTTTGTTAGTTGTTTTGTTAGTAAAAGAGATAGTTAGACCCCAATGACTTTCATTGTATGGATAATAATACACATATTTCTCAGAATATCTTTTTTTGTGTTCTACAGAATTAAGAAAGTAAGGTTTGGAACGATGTGAGGGTGAGTAAATAATGCCAGAGTTTTCATTTCATCAAATATGCCACCTAATGCTTTGCAATCCTCAGTGTGATTTTGTATTCTGAGGCTCTTTGGAGGCTTGTAAAGTTAAATACCGTTTAATAAGCATCTAAAAGTGCCCATCACTCATTTCAGCTGTCACTCTTTGAGCTATTTACATGAATTCTCTTGTCACTCTTAGATTTTAATGTGTCCATCCTCTAGGTTTAGGAATTGATATCCGATTCCCAGTTACATTTTGTACAAAACCAAATGATTTCCATGACGTTCCAGTTCTTAAACATCTGCAGTTGGCATCTGACTTTGTGTGAACCCCATTCTGTGGACTGAGATAGAGAGCGATGGAGATCCCATGCAATATGCATTGGACGGTATTGATGTCAGGGACCTGTAGGACAGAACCGTGATGTTTTGCCCCATGAGCAGAGCTTTCCTGTGCCGAGTGGCTCACTGACATTTTCACGGGCCTCGGTACCACAGTCGAATGCACCTGCTTAGGACTGACATTTCTCTTGTTACTGTGGAGGAGTGCAGCATTCAAGCCAGCTGCCGGCATCCGCTCCGGTGAGTAGAGCTTGGGGCCGAACAGGGGTTGAGCCCGAATCGAACTTACAACCGCCTACACTGAGCCATGAATCATTCTGAGAATGGTGGTCCATGCGTGTAATATCAGAGCTGTTTTGATATCTTGGACATTCTGATGTTAATATGTGTGGAAGTGTTATGTGGAAACTTCTTTATTAATGCGACAAAGCTTCCTCTCAGTTTTCTGCTTGATGATCACGCTACTCCGCCTGTAGTGTACACTGTAAAAAAAATATTTTAGAAGATTATTGGAGTACTTTACAAGAAAATACTATTTCGGTCTTTTTATACTTAAAATTATATACTTTATAATTTTGTTTGTAATTTATTGTTACTTGCTGTTTCTTTGCAAGGAGGCCCAAAGCTTTTCTCTTTGTCTCTCTCTCTCTCTCTCTCTCTCTCTCTCTCTCTCTCTCTCTCTCCATATATATATATATATATATATATATATATATATGTAATTATCATATATATAAAAACTACCATTTTAAACGCTGTTTGACCATAAGAAACATTTATGGGGCAGTTCATGTCAGATTTTGTTGCTGATCGGAGCACACACTTCAATCTATGATAAATCAATCTATGATAAACCAATGGTAAACAAGACCAACCCACCTAATTATCATTCAAGAGACAGAAATGTAAGAATAAATACAAAAATAAATAAAGCGGTCATAGCCATGCTTTATTTTGAATAAAATGGAAATAAATAAAAGTTGGAATAAATAAACAAAAAACTAAATGAGCACATAAAGAAATTTAAAATAAAAAAAATGAAAATAAAAATGCTGTTAAAATAAGTAAAAAAGATAATAAATAAATGGTGGGAAAGTAATGCAAAAAGTAATTCAGGACTAAATTGAATGAAAAATGAATTGTTTTGATGTTATTTATTTATTTATAGTTTTTGCAGTTTGCAGTTTAGTCTTCCATATCTATGTAATTAATTGTAACATTTTCTAACCGTTTCTGAATGAAAATTGTGTCAAGGGAAATCTACACCAATTTTTTTTTTTCAGTGTAGTCATACGGTGCTGCAACTCTATCTCCTTGTTATTTGAACCGGGTTTGTTGTGGATGACTTAACATGTATGAAAAGTAACCTGTATCAAGAAGGTAGAGCTTGCGGCAGAGCCTAAACCTGCTTGTACCATGGCATAAACAGTCGTCTCATTGTCTTCCGTCACACAGAGCATACAGATCCCACAACAATGAGGCCTTGTGTCAGCCGCTGCATTTGAACTGCACTACGGGTCACCTTTCCGCCATTATAGCGTGTTTAACCAAGGGATGTGCGGTGGCCACGCGACATGTCAGCCCGTCAGCTGAA